AGATGAAGAAAAGATAGAAGTTGTCAACAATTTCATTGTAGTTAAATTCATAATCTATTCCCATAGTACCAGTACACAAATTATAAAGTGTGTTGCACTGGTAAATCCACTATCAAAGACCTCTCCAGAATACCAAAGAGCAAAGATGCCACTTTCAAGACTATAGTGCACTTCTCTAAGCCACAGTCATCTTAATTTCTTCCTATGCATCTGAAAGTTGGGTGACGGACAAGATAGCACAAGAAGAACCAATGTCTTTGATTTATGGTGTTGTAGCAGAGTCTTGATTATCTCATGGACCTGCAAAAACAAAGGACAAGTCTGTCTTGGAAGAGATGAAACCAGGGTGCTCTCTAGAAAAAATGATGGTGGAATTTTGTTTCACTTACTATGTGCATGTTGTGTTGTAGTGGCCAGTCTTTGGGAAAACACATCATGCTGGGAAAAAGTGGAGAGTCAAAGAAAGAAAACTTTCAACAAGATGGGTTTATTCAGTGACAGTAACAATGGCTTGAGCATAGAAGCGATTGTGAGAATGACCCAGGATAGAAAAAGGTTCAGATTTATTGTCCATAGAATCTTCAAGTTGTAGTCCACTTGATGTCACTTAACAACAATAACATGCCATCAGAATTCCCAATTGAAAAAAATAAAGTCAGAAAAAAATACCATGATATGTTGCTTTATCCTTATTTTGTTATTAGCTGCCATCAAGTTGACTCATAGGAACGCTATGAACAACAGATCTAAACCCTGTCCTATCCTGTGCCATCCTCACAATCTCTCGAATACTGAAGCCTTAGACAATGTGTGTGGTGTCAAAGGTTTATCTTGCAAAATGTCTTTCCCAGACAATGCTTAACTTTTTGTTTTTTGTTACAGTGTTTATTGTATGAAGGAGAGAGGATTAGTGTGGAATACAAGCCCTACTCTACTGTTGTTACTGTGATGTGCCTTCTAGTTGCAACTGACCCGTAGCTTACCTCCACTGGGCTTTGAGAGTCCATTGGACCTCAATACTATCTCTTTTTGAGATGTCCACTTTCTAGATACAACTCATAGTCTACAATGTTAATCAGTCTTCTGAGATGTCACTTCACCTTTGTTGCTGTTGTTATTAGGTGTTGTCAAGTCAAATATGGCTAATAGTGACCCTACAAAAAAACAAACGAAAAAAACAGGTATGAATCCTGTCCTTTCTTCCTTTGACAACCTTACCATCTCTTGAGTCTATTTTTCATGTCACCATGTCAATCCATCTCTATAGAGATCTTTCTCTTTTGCTGTCCTCCAACCTTCCAGGCATGACATCTTTTTTCAAAGGAATAGCCTTTCCTAGAAACATTTGCAGATTATTTGAGACAAAGCTCTGCCATCCGTGCTTCCGAGGAACACTCTGGCTTCATTTTTTTCCCCAAAATATACTTGATTTTCTTTGGACAGCCCATGGGATATTCAGTACTATATACCAACATCACAATTCAAAAGCATTAATTCTTCTGTCAACCCTATTCTTTGAACAGATCTCAGATGCATTGCAAGTAATTGAAAAGACTATCACAGGATTCAACTGCACCTTATTCTTCAAACTAACATCATTGTGCTTTGGTATTTTGGAGAGATCTTCAACAATGGAATTGACAAAAGCAATACATATCTCCTAAGTGCTAGTAGCAAGGGTGTTGATTGCGGATCCAAACAAGATAACTCATTAAATTTCAATCTTTTTTTTTTTTTAAATTTAGGTTGTTTATTTTTCATTTCAATGAACATCTACAGAGATTTTGGGATTCCATTCATTCATTGTTGCACCCTTCTCACCGCACACCTCCCCCCCCATTTGCTCCTCTCCTTGAAAAGCAAAAGAAAAACTCCCTCATTGGTACACAATCCCCCCCCCCCCCCTCCCCAAACCCCACCACCTAGCCCCAAATATAAT